ATGAACTACGACTCGTCAGAAAAACCAGAACCGGTCCCGGCCCGGCCCGACCCGCCGGGACCGGTTAATGAAAACCATTGAACCGTAACCGGACCGCTTTGGGCCCGGTCCGGTTCACGGCCCGTGTACTGTTCATGCCGGTACCGGTGCCGGTTTGGTCCGGGCCGGTACCGGTTCACGGTTCGGGCCACGGGCCGGTTCGGGCCACGGGCATGTCTAATCTCATTATCACACCAAACCTTTTGTTTGGTTGTATACTCGCAGGTTGGATAGTCTACCACTTCCAATAGACCGAATTGTCCATTGACTATGAACATTTAAATCCTACTAACATTATTATGACCAAGCGCTAGGTGCCATATATATGATTGGTTCACTTTCGAAAGTTCTTTTCTCTTATTGGTTTTAGTCGATGTGTTATTCATTTAGATACGTTGCACTATGGGAGAATTTGGTCTCAAAACATACAAATTGCCTACTGATGAACCGGAATAGATAAATCGTCGATCTTTGCGGATAGCAACTTTATTAGCGAAAAAAACATTAAATCCATCCACGAGTAGTTTAGAAATTGAAATTAAATTCTTCTTAATCAACAGAACATAATGACAATCCTTGAGAACCAAACTCCTATCTCTGTCAAAATAAAGAAATACGTCTCCCACTGCAACAACATCCGCCTTCGTGGTCTTGTCCATGTAAACGACAAATCTCTCCAACCTTATGCCACCGAGTTTCCTAGAACCCCTCCACTGCTCTTGAGGAGAGGACAGTTGGCCTTCTAGTATCCTCTCCGCGATTGACCTAACTGTTTACACAATTATCTGCATATTTTCATATTCTATATGTAGCATAGTTTATGACATAATATTTACACACTTTTTCAATTAATTTCGTATATCTGTCGCATATTTTATCGTATAATGAGATGACACTTGCACAATTATATTTGTTTGTCATATAATTTATCGCATAATGAGATCACACTTGTTCAATTTATCCCATAGTTATGTTGCATTTGCTCAATTAATTTCGCACGTCTGTCACATAATTTACCACATAATTATTTCGCACATCTTCAATTATCTTCAGTTGTCAGTCGCATAGTTTATGACATAATTTATTTTGTATTTAGTGGGAGAAATAAAAAAAGTAAATTATTAATTGGAGAATGTGAAAGACTATTGGGTGAAAATAGCTATATTCTCGAACAAATGAACTCTTGATGCAAGGAAACTTCAAATGAGTTGGAGGGCTGCCATTCGGCCCTGAGCTCCCATCAAAAGCTGAAGTACAGCATACTTAAGCTCAGCTTCCCTAATCAACTCCTCCTCACTCTTCTCACCTCCGCCACCACCGCCGCCTCCATTATCCTGCTTGACCCCAGACGTCACGCACTCCAAATGCGTCCCGAAATCGCACTCGCGACAGTAGTACACCCACGCCATCTCGTGAACCGGATTCTGACACGCATCGCACATGAACGTCACGTCCTGGCTCGTCTCCGCCGCCGGTGACGAGTAATAGAGGGTCAGCGCGTGCCCGTGGTCCTGCCGCGTCACCTTCTCCGGCCACTGGACGCAGTCTATGTGCAGGTCGTACGAGCACGTCGCGCACGTGTAGGCAAACGCCTTCCCGTCCTTGAGGCACGCGTTGCAGGTGAACCCGTCGCTGTACGGCGGAGACGGAATTAGGGTTAGCGGGTGCTGCAGGTGCGACTTATGCTGGAACTCGCGCGGCGCGTCGTAGCAGGACTTGTGAAGGCTGAACGGACAGTGCCCCTCCGTGCAGCAGTAGGCAGATCCAGACAGCCGGAACTCGCACGCCGAGCAAATCTTCGAGCTCTTCCCCTCGATCTCCATGAATTTCAGCGCGTGGGTGTGGCTGAAGTGCTTAATTATGTTTGCCGGCGGTTTTGGCTGAGGAGGGTTATCTGTGGTGGTGTTCATGACTGTAGTGTAAGTCGGGACTGTGGTGTTAGTCAGAGGATTGTTGGCGGGAGGAATGTAATGCTGTGGTGGTGGTGGAATTGAATGTGGTTGGGGAAAAGCAGGGTTTTGGTGCACACCAGGTGTTTGATGAAATGCATTGTAGTGTTGTGTGTCGTTTGGCGGTGGTGGTGTTGGGTAGCTGGGATAAGGGCTGTTTGGATTAGGCGGATAGGCCGTGATTTGAGGTTGAGGAGGATAACTGTGTTGGTTGTTGGAAGGAGGGTAAGTCTGATAAGGGCTTGTTTGGGCCGGCGGGGGGTAGATTGGATTGTTGTTGTTGTAATTCGGATTAGCAGCAATTGGGGAAGATGGCACGAGTGGATTATTATTATTATTATTCAAATGCGCGCAGTGTACGTGAATGTCGAATTGACAAGCTGAGCAGGTGTAGGAAAATCCGTCCCCAGTTAGGTTGCACAAATTGCAGATAAACGAAACTGAAGGGTAAGTAGGGAAAGGGAGAAGTGTGAGAGGGTGAAGGGGGTGGGACGGGTGTTTGAGTGAGCGTGTAGCCCGAAAACACTGCACGTGGAGGAAATAGTTGCACTGCCAGCAAACGTAGGTCTCACCCGAGAGGGGGGTTTTGCAGCCCGAACAACGGGTTTCGGGCCCTTGGTGAGGTGGTTGGTGGTGGAGAACGAGGCCATGGTTGTGGCTGAAGTGCTTGGCATCCATGTTTTTTTTTGAGGTTGGTGAGGGTTGAAGTTGAATGTGTGGTAGCGTGGGATCAGAAGTTTAATGAATGGATATTTACTAATTATAGAGCAAGCAAGTTGGTGTTAAGGAATTGATATGCAAGTTGGGGTGCCAACTAATAGTGAGATTCTTGGCAATGTGAGTGGGTTGAATTTTTCACTTCTTTGCTGGCTTATGGAACTATGGAAGTTGACTTGCACCTGAGTATTGTATTTGACTTTGACTGGAGGAGATGTGTATTTATTCATCTCAAAATTATTCGTGATGAGTTGACATTTCTTTTGGCTGGTAATGCGCGTTTAGTGGGTCAATATTTTGATATTTTTACTTTAATTATAATCTATAATAAGGTCATACTGTACTGGTTGCTGTTTTTTGCTGATGGACGAATGGAGAACAAAGTAGAAGAATTTTAATTCCATGACAATAATGAATAAAGTAATATGTATTTATACTAAATAAAAATGTTTGGTTTGGGTTGATTATTTCTCAAATTCAGTTTTTCGTTTTCTTTTATCGTTTTTTCTTTTGAGTACAATATCGTTTTTACTTTAATTGTAATCTGAATAATAAGTTTGGTGCTTTATATTCTTGAGGCAATATCTCTCTCTAAACAAATAATTTCCCTATTCTACTTGTCGTAATTCTATATATCGAATTCCGTCGCTTTATATTTATGTATGAATTTCTGTGTCATTTGAATTTTATTCATACCTAGAACTTTAAAAATTATAAGGATGAATCTAATCAAGATTAGGATGAATTTAATTATATAAGAATGAAATCAAGATAAGAATGAACACAAAGTGGATAAGAATTAAGTAGCTCCAGGCAGATTGATCTTGGGCAACCTGAACAACTAATCTTGGACACCAAGTTACTTCCCCTATAAAAGGAGACAAGTTACAAATGAAATATTTCTCTACTCTCTGAATTTTCTAGATACATTCATAATCTTCTTTCCCTTTTCGAGACTTGAGGTCGGAGTGGTCGGAGTGCTCATGCTCACGTCGGGAGTTCTTTCTAGCCCTTGTTTTGCAAGTAATCAGTTGTTCTCTGGCTGTAGAAGGTTTTCACCCTTATTTTGCAAGTAATCAGTTGTTCTCTGGCTATAGGAGGTTTTCAGTAGCCGATTCAATCCAGATCAAGGTTCTAACACATCAGAATACTACTTTGACTTTGTCTCTTTGATTATAGATTTGGATTTTTTTTAATGTTTTGTCCTTTATTTTATTTATTATTGGTTTGTAAGCTTTGTGGCTTGTAGGCTTTAGGCTTAAGTATTGAAGTAAAGATAAAAACAAAATGAACATTGCATTGAAAGGAAAGATTGAATCTGTATCTGTGTATTGAGAGAAAGAGAGAGAGAGAGAGAAAGGAGAGATGCGACTGAAAATAAAAATACAAACTAATGAATGGAAAACCCTAAACAACATCTATTTATATGAATGACTAATAAACTAAAAATGCTAAACTGATAACTAAAGTGCTAAATACAAAAGAGCACTTTCTATATTCTAATATTAAGTCCTTTCTTAACTTACATAATCTATATATATATATAAAGAGGTTGTTGGAAAAATACATTAATAGAAAGTTTGACCTAATAAATAAAACAATTGACTTACTATAAGTGGAAAGTTCGAAAAAATATATGTGAATCTTTAGTAACAAAATCTGAATCCTATTTTTTTGGTAACTAATTTAGAAATTCTTACGGCAAAATTTGAATCCCATTTTTTTCGCATCATATTTTATTTTTTGTACCAAAATTTAAATCATATATTTTGGTAACAAATTTGGAGATTCATATGCAAAAAATGTGTCAATTATTTATGAAAATAATTCTAAATACAAATTAACTTAAAGACCGTACAAATTGGATACGAATTTAGGAAACAAATAGTTGTATAATTCTTAACCAATTCTTCTAATTTTATTGAATAATTTTTTCTTTAAAAAGAAGGGTGTAGATTGGATAAAACCATGTGCAATTTTTATTTTAGAATAAAACTGATATTTGGACGGAATGTGCATTCAAAATTGTGTCCACATTTTTTGTAACAAAAGCGATTCATCTTTGATATTTAAAGTCACCTTATCTAATTATTTAGGAAAAATTGTGTGCAACTTTTCAAATTTAAATGCATCAATTTTTTTTGGATTCTTATGTTTTTCTTAACCATGTTTTACCGAGATTTTGGTAAGTTCGTATCATTTTTTTTTGTTAAGTTCATATCATTTTCTTTAGGAAAGAGACAGTTGCATAAACATTAACAAATTGTTTCAATTTTTTATTAAAATTATTTTCAATTCAATTTATTTGGTAAAAAAATCGGTGTAGTGTTAGGAAAATTTGGTTGCATTTTTAGGAAAAATTGATGATTTTTTATTTTGTTTAAAAAAATATTCGGATCAATTTGTTTGATAATAATCAGTTTATTGGTAGAAAAATCGGCTTCATTTTCAGTAGTAAATAATATTTCTTTTTAATATATGTAGAAAGGTTGTTGGAAAAATACTTAAATAGAATGTTTGACTTATTAATTAATTTGTTTGACTTACTAATTTAGGAAAATTTGTTAAAAAGCACGTGCAATTTGAGTAAAAAAATGAGATTTTAAAAGCAATATTAGAATCAATTTCTTAACAAAAAAACCGGGAGGATGATGTTGAATTGTGGATGAGGATAATGTCAATTGATTCTTTCCGAATTGAAAGGTCACATGTGAAATATATACACCAAGGATATCTAATTTATTAGTTACTTAGGGAGCATGATTGTAGGAGATCAAAATATATCAATATAAATGTAACATCAAGCCATATAAAACAAGTTACATTATAAGTAATTTAAACATTCTTCGTAAATTTTAAATTATTATATATAATAAATTCTTTGTTTTTTTATATATTAATAGATACTACCTCTTTTTTTTTAAATGTCATTTTGACTTTATTTCTTTTCTGAGGGTAGGCATCAACCAACTCACAGATTGAGCTTGCAATAACATTAAGCACTTTTTTCCCATGAACAATTAACCAAATAAATGACGTTTTGGATATTTTGTACATATTTTTTCATTATTACCTCAATCTAGCTAATAAATACACTACATCATTTCATATTCATTCTTCATCTTTTCTCAAAACATCCATCTCTATCCTCATTAATGAGGGTTATTATTTACAAAAAAAATATCTTAATTACTGTGCAACTTTTCAAAACGATACTTATTAAAAAAAGGAGGGAGTACTATATATGTACTTATATATATATATATATATGTATATATATATGTATATATTGAAAGAGGTTGATTAAAAAATCATTTATAGAAACTTGATAAAAAATTTGAGTCAAAACCTTTGACTTAGTTCTTTTGGAAATTCAATCTAATATTATAAAATAACAATAGGGATTTACTTTAAGTTGAAAAAAAGTTCTCGCCTAAAATTTTAGGTTTTACTACAATTGATAACTTTTTTAAAAAAAATTTGATAAAATTGGGAGTTGATTTGTAATCTGAATTATAGCGCCTACATGACATCATTGAATTTGTTGGATGGTCGTATGTACTTAGTTCTGACAGTACATGCAAATCGAATTCTAATAATGATTTGTTGTCTGATCTCCATACGCCTGAATTTTTGAATAGTATCAAGTGTTCCGGAATACCGAACTATGAGTTGTATTTGAAAATTGGAACTCCGGTCATGTTGTTGCGGAACATGGATCATTCTATGGGTTTGTGTAATGAGACACGATTGGTTGTGACAAAGCTATCCAGTCATGTTCTTGAGTGTAAGATACTCACAGGAGATCATGCTGGTGATAAGGTGTTGATTCCAAGAATGGCCATAACTCCTTCTGATGTTAGAATTCCTTTTAAGTTCCAACAGCGACAGTTTCTCATTATGGTTTCTTGCGCCATGACTATAAACAAGAGTCAGGAACAATCCTTATCTCATGTTTGCTTATTTCTTAAGAAACCAGTATTCAGTCATGGCCAGTGATATATTGTTGTCTCACATGTCACTAACCGAAAATGTTTGAAAATCTTAATTTGTGGTGAAGATGACATGCCAAAGAATCAAACCAACAATGTTGTATATAGGGAAGTGTTCAATAATATATGATCTTTTCATTTTAATTATATGTTTATTTGTCTATTCTTATGATCATGATCATTGCATTATTACATAATTTATATACAAAGGTGCATTCTAAAAAGCGTATAGATAATAATTTCCCCGTGCATCGCACGGGTAATTACTAGTACATATAATAATATATATACATATTTGATATATTTTTTTTTTTTTTTGTTCTG